GCCTCAGGCTCCAATAAAACAATGTCTGCATTCACAGACCTGTCTGTCACTGTAAATTTAGAAAAGCATAACATCTTCCGTTGTAACGTCATTCCTCTATGTGCCAACACTACTTAAACACTTGTCAGTAAGTGAGAGGAGATGCACTGTGAGCCTGATAGTCTTCACACTGTAATATTCCTCCTGTGGTCTGACAGATTTATGAATGAAGTATAAGTATAAATAGTTTTTTTTGCATCATATATCCTGATTAAAGCAGATGAGGAAACACCAGGATGGGGGAAATAATGTAATTAATTTTGATTACTGTCATGAACCAGTAGCAACTCGGCACTGAATGACTGCATTTTTTTTCATACAGATTACTGCCATTGTCCAGACAAGGATAATATCTAATTGACCTACACTGTTACTTGCATTTTGTGATGGTAAAATTTCTGTCGTCCTGTGAGTTCTTGTGTACCTGTACAGTAAATATACATGACATGTTTGTGTGAATAAATATTTGAACTGTTTGTTTGCCTTTTATTATTAAACTAAAGCTTAATTTGTACAGCTTCATTTCTATCTATAACCTAATACAAATTTTATATCGCTAATAATATTTAGAGTATGTTTAATTGTCTTGAGGTTTCGAACAGCTTTTTGAAACAAATTCTCTTGCATTAAAATCTGAGAACCATCTCTGAATTCTGAATTCCCAGAATAACCCAGGACAATGTTTTGACATGTACACAAGTGCATTTCTCACGGACCATCACCTATGCTTAGTATACATGAAGTTTGAACAGAAATATTCAAAGCCCTGGGGGCAATGACATCTTAGATGTCTCAATATACCAACTCAGATGTTACGTTCCTGAGAAAGCAGGTTTGTAATTAAAAACCACATTCAATGTTCCTAATTCAATCCTATTATGTATGTGTTGTGGATTGTTACGTATGTTTAAGATATTTTTTGAAAGATTGTTGGTTAAAAAAATAAATTTAAAATATACTAAGCATTGACAACAATTACAGAGTTGATGTAGAAACAAAACTAAATTTCAGAGTTACAAAGAAATGGCAAAGTAACACTGAATTAAACATAAAATTTTGAAATGGAAAAAGCTGAAATAGCATTTTCTTGTAAAATGCACTCCAATAATCTGTTTTTATTTAAAACTTAAGTTTAATTTCAAGTTGAGTACATTTCAATTTGTGTACAGTGTACAATAAAGAATCCATTGCTCCCTTAAAAAGTGTAATAAATCTTATTTATTTATATATTTGTCTCCAACTCTGCATGCTTTTTATTTGAATGATTTTAATCATTTTCAATTTACAGTATATATTTTACAGGCCTATAACACGTCAAATAATCCACATTTGTTCTTGCAACACTAGCACAATCCACAAGAGGTCAACGAATCATTTTGTATTTCCAATTAGAGTATACGCACTCACAGTCACAAGCACAGCATTAATAATATAAACCGAATTAAATGACATGCAAAGATTTGCAGGGCCAAATCACCTGATTCAAGATCAAGTTACACCTTGACATTTCCCTGTACTTCCTTTCGACTAAGAATAAACATCTGACACCAATATACCTCAATCCCCTGAGAACTGAGCCCAGCTGAGACCTGTCTGGTGACGTAAGAGCATATAAATAGATGCAAGTCTATTTAAGGAGCTAAACTCGAAAACAAGACAAGGCTTTTCTTGAACGAGCTCTGCAAGCTCTTAAATGTCCACACATTCGTGATCCCCGGTTAATTTCCGTCCTTGACATCCCTGTTCCACTAGTCCACTGACCCCTGACTGGCTGATCTTCACTCATGTCATGTGTTCAGTGGGAGGCTTGGCCTGACGTAAGTCGGGTAGCGCATCAGTTACCATGGAAACCTCTTCCAGCAGACGATGCTGGGCGCAGTGG